AGAGGGGACAGCACTGACCCTCCCCACAGGACAGGGAGAGGGGTCAGTACTGCCCCCACCCCGCCCCCGCCAATAGGACAGAGTGAGAGGTCATACTGACCCCTGACCTCGCCCAACATAGGATGGGGTGAGAGGTCAGCACTGATTACAAGGACCCTGTAACAGTCGGAATACTGAGCTGCGCTGTGAGGGCCCAAGGGAAAGGTAACGCTACAATACGATTGAAGAATGAGGTAACGTGGCAGCCTCCAGGAGAGGGAGTCACAAATGTCTGCCATTGAGGCTCAAATCTCATCGTCAGGACTATCTCGGACTGGGAAACCGGATCTCACATGATTTTGCACATTTTGGATTCCCAGTTCCTCCTCCACTTCGGAGAGTCCTGGTCATTCCCATCGCTGGAACGCCCAGATTTCTGTGATCCTGAAGCCATGCTGAAACAGAAAGGGAAGGGGTGAGAATCAAAAACTACTTCCCTCACCATCACTAGGACATACACTGTAATATTGGAGGAGCCACTCTGGGACAGGGACAGCACGGGGTTAGATACAGAATAAAGCTCCCTCTACACTGTCCCCCCCATCAAACACTCCCAGGACAGGGACAGCATGGGGTTCCATGAATAGTGTAAAGCTCCCTCAATTCTTCTAAACAGAAAGTATAGCTACCTCAACTGTGCCTCCATCAAACACTCTCAAAACAGGGATAGCACGCAGTTAGATATGGGGTCAAGCTCCCTCTACACTTTTAAATTGCAATTAAAGCTCCTCCACAGTCTCCCAGTCAAACATTCCAAGGAGTGGGACAACCCAGTGTTAGATACAGAGTAAAGCTCCCTTTACACTGTCCCCATCAAACATAAGAACATAAGAGCTAGGAGCAGGAGTAGGCCATCCGGCCCTTCGAGCCTGCTCCGCCATTCAATAAGATCATGGCTGATCTTTTCGTGGACTCAGATCCACTTACCCGCGTTCTCACCGTAACCCTTAATTCCTTTATTGTTCAAAAAAAATCTACCTTATCTTTAAAAACGTTTACTGAAGTAGCATCAACTACTCCACTGGGCAAGGAATTCCATAGATTAACAACCCTTTGGGTGAAGAAGTTCCTTCTCAATTCAGTCCTAAATCTGCTCCCTCTAATCTTGAGGCTATGCCCTCTTGTCCTAGCTTCACCTGCCAGTGGAAACATCCTCTCTACTCCTATCTTATCTATTCCCTTCATAATTTTATATGTTTCTATAAGATCCCCCCTCAATCTTCTGAATTCCAATGAATATAATCCCAATCTACTCAGTCTCTCCTCATAAACCAACCCCCTTAACTCTGGAATCAACCTAGTGAACCTCCTTTGCACCCCCTCCAGTGCCAGTACATCCTTTCTCAAGTAAGGAGACCAAAACTGCACACAGTACTCCAGATGTGGCCTCACCAGCACCTTGTACAGCTGCAACATAACCTCTCTGCTTTTAATCTCAATCCCTTTAGCAATGAAGGACAAAATTCCATTTGCCTTCCTAATTACTTGTTGTAACTGCAGACCTACCTTCTGTGATTCATGCACAAGGACACCCAGGTCCCTCTGCATAGCAGCATGCTGCAACTTTTTACCATTCAAGTAATTATCCCTTTTACTATTACTCCTACCAAAATGTATGACTTCACATTTATCTACATTGTATTCCATCTGCCAGACCTTTGCCCACTCACTCAATGTATCTATGTTCCTCTGCAAAGTTTCACAGTCCTCTGCACACTTTGCTCTGCCACTTATCTTAGTGTCATCTGCAAACTTTGACACCCTACACGTGGTCCCCAACTCCAAATCATCTATATAAATTGTAAATAATTGCGGTCCCAACACCGATCCCTGAGGCACACCACTAGTCACTGACTGCCAGCTAGAACAGCACTCATTTATCCCCACTCTTTGCTTCCTGTTAGTCGACCAATCCTCTATCCATGCTAATACTTTACCCTTAACGCCATGCATCCTTATCTTATGCCGTAGCCTCTTGTGCGGCACCTTGTTGAAGGCCTTTTGGAAATCCAGGTACACCACATCCACTGGGTCCCCATTGTTCACCTTGCTCGTAATCTCTTCATAGAATTGAACACTCCCAGGACAGGGATAGCACGGGGTTAGATACAGAGTAAAGCTCTCTCTACACTGTCCCCCCATCAAACACTCCCAGGACAGGGACAGCACGGGGTTACATACAGAGTAAAGCTGCCTTGACTCTGTCACCATCAAACACTCCCTGGACAGGGACAGCATGGGGTTAGATACAGAGTAAAGCTCCCTCTACACTGTCCCCCCATCAAACACTACCAGGACAGGGACAGCACAGGGTTAGATACAGAGTAAAGCTCCCTCGACACTTAACACTGGTGGAGTCTGTACTCCCAGATGAGAACTGGGCTGAACAAACCAGGAGCAATCACGGGACTCGTCAGACACGATGTGAGATCTGACACGGCCAAATCGAGATGTTCATTAACCACTGAACGGCAGGGGGCTGTGATGAGCATGTGGAGTAATTCAGACATACCCCTCCTCAACTGCTGGCATCTGCCTCGTCTGCAATGTTTCGTAGAAGTGGTCACCTACATCGGAGAGAGAGAAAGAATGGGGTAGAGCGTTCAGGTCAAACAAAAAAGAGAGAGAGAGAGCAGGTCTTACATTTGTGAGAGATAGTAGGAACTGCTGATGCTGGAGAATCTGAGATAACAAGGTGTAGAGTTGGATGAACACAGCAGGCCAAGCAGCATCAGAGGAGCAGGAAGGCTGACGTTTCAGGTTTGGACCCCCCATTTCTGAATAAGGGTCCCGAACCGAAAAGTCAGCTTTCCTGCTCCTCTGATGCTGCTTGGCCTGCTGTGTTCATCCAGCTCTATACTTGTTATCTTACATTTGTGATGTGCCTTTCTCCACCTCAGGGTGTTGCTTCTGTAGTCAAGACAGTTGCAGCCAGTGAGGGGGGAGATTCTCGGATCGGGAGGAGGCCGTTCGGCCTCTCTAATTCCTTTTAGCACTTTTTCAGCCCTCCTCAGGGGTGGCACTCAACAACTACGGCATTTGGGTTTGACTCGAAACTGCCCCAGCAAGTCACTCAGATCACGGGGTAATTAGGGATGGGCAAACAGATGCTGGTCTTGTTAATGACACCCACATCCTACAATAGATGCTATGTCCCCTCAAGCTGCACTTCAGGGTAACGACTCCTTCCAGGGCAAACAATTTGGCCTTGTGGATGTTTCTTAAAAAACTTTTTCACAGGCTGCGGGTGCCCTCTGGCTGGGCCAGCGGGTATTTCCCATCCCTAATTGCCCCCGGGAGCCAGCTTTCAGGGACCACGTCAGAGGGCAGCCATGTTTCTGTGGGTGTGGAGTCCCCGATGAAATCCCCGACCGGATAAGGACGACAGATTTCTTTCCCTTTTAGTGAACCTGCAGGGATTTTTATGACGGTGGCTCAGTGGTTAGCACTGCTGCCTCACAGCGCCAGGGACCTGGGTTCGATTCCACCCTCAGGCGACTGTCTGTGTGGAGTTTGCACCTTCTCCCTGTGTCTGCGCGGGTTTGCTCCGGTTTCCTCCCACATTCCAAAGGTGTGCAGGCTAGGTGGATTGGCCGTGCCAAAATGCCACATAGTACCTGAGGATGTGTAGGCTGGGTGTGTTATTCATGGGAAATGCAGGGTTATAGGGATACGGTGGGATGCTCTTTGGAAGGGTTAGTGCAGACTCGATGAACAGAATGGCCTCTACCTGCACTGTGGGGATTCTCTGTGGCTATGACATTGACATTTTGTTCAGGATTTTGTCTAAATTGAATCCAACTTTCATGATTGGCTATTGTCGTAATCGAGCTGGACCTCACAGAATAGGAGTTCGCTTATTGGCTCTGTTAATCTGGTCCTATCAGGGAGCCCTGGCTGACAGATAAAAAAAGGGGAGATGCTGACAGTCTGGTACCAGACTCTGAATGAGTCAGTACTAAAGTCAGGACTGTTTATGTGTAAATAAAGGGTGACTTAGTGACGGATACCGGCCTCTGTGGAGTTATTTCAGCCGTGAACCACAGAATATCAACCCCGGCATTTGGAATAGGAGTTCAGTCAATCATTCTGGTAATCACGGGCTCCCGATTCACACTGGGATCTGTGCAATACTCACTCTGAGTTGTTCTGAGCTGCGGATTGTTCAGGTACGTGGGATCTGGCTGCAGGTAGGTGTTGTTTAAGTTCCTGGGGAGAAGGGAAAGTAAGATCGGAAACCATAGCCACTGCATCTCATGTTGCTAACATCTTGTGAAATGGCCCTTTGTACATTTTGTGCCCATTCCTCCGATCACAGGCCATTTCTCCATCAACAGTGAATAATGAGCCACTTAACTGGGACAGCACTAGGGAATTCAAAAGACTTCAGGGAATCACAGAGTGGTTACAGCACAGAAAGGTGCCATTTAGCCCCATGTCAAATCTCCAAATGAGGAAGTACTCAGTCCAATTCCCCGGCCTATTGCCCACAATGCTGCACATTCCCACTTCTCAAATCATCATCAGATTCTCTCTGGAAAGCCTAGACTGAATCTGTGCTCCCTCAGCGCAGACCCTTGGACAGTGCCCACTCCCCCACAGCACTAACCCTCCGACAGCGCCCGCACCCTCGGCGCTGACCCTCCGACGGTGCCCACTCCCTCAGCGCTGACCCTCTGTCAGTGCCAGCTCCCTCAGCATTGATCCTCCGACAGCGCCCGCTCCCTCAGCGCTGACCCTCTGACGGTGCCCGCTCCCTCAGCGCTGACCCTCTGACAGTGCGACGCTCCCTCAGCTCTGACCCTCTGACAGTGCCTGCTCCCCCAGCGCTGACCCTCTGACAGTGCCCGCTCCCTCGGCGCTGACCCTCCGACAGCGCCCGCTCCCTCGGCGCTGACCCTCCGATAGTGCCTGCTCCCTCGGCGCTGACCCTCTGACAGTGCCTGTTTCCTGGCACTGGAAGTGTCCACCTGGATTATGAACTCTGCTTTCTGGAGTCAGGTCTCAAAACTCATAATAGAAATTGTTACCAGCTTCTGAAGATACAAATCATGAGAATATTCATGAAAAGTAGTTTAAGAATGAGCTGCTATGTCTAGGCGATCAGTGCCAAAGCTATCCTTCACTCTGACTGGTTCAGAGGATTAGTGTGGTACTTATGCTATTGGGAATAAAGTTCCTGATACACATCTCAGTCTCTGAAGAGTTCTGGAAGTTGCTGTACACTGAGGCTAGAGGGGAGGGTAAATGGCTTAGAACCAGCCTGGCCATCTTGTGATTCACAAGGTCATAAGAATTAGGGGTAGTCCACTCGGCCCCTCAAGTAAGTGAATAAGATCATTTACCCGAGGCTTTAACCCCATTTTACTGTCTGTCGCCCATAACCCTGGATTGGCTTGTTGATCAGAAATCTGTCTAACTTGAGTCTTCAGTGACCAACACTCCACTGCAGTCTGGGAGACTCCACAGACATATGAGCCTCAGAGAGAAGAACATCCTCCTCATCTCTGTCTTCAAAGGGAGTCCCTGTCAGTCTGAAAGCCCCGAGTTCTGTATCCCGCCATTACACCCTCTCAGCGCCCACCCTCTGAAGTCCACCCACAGGATGCTATACATTTCAATAACATCACCTCTTGCTCTTCTAAACTCCAAAAGCTCAAACCAGTCAACCTTTTGTCATAAGCCAAACCCTTCCATCCCAGAAATTTGCTGCGTGTGCCTCATCTGAACTGCCTCCTATGTAAGAGTGACCCTCCTTAAGTAAGGCCACAGTTGTTGAAGTCTTGTCAGAAGTCCATCGTTCCCGCCACCCACCCCTGCACCCCTGCTGCAGACTGCTCCCACTATCCACAGGCTTAGCTGTGAAGGAATTCCAATGCTCCTCTTTCAAAGACCTTTCAAAACTTCAGTGCCTCCTCAATGAAGAAGCCACAACTTCAGCTTTCTTGCAGGTGGTAAGCTTCACCAAGCTAGTGCTGCCCCTCGGTTTCTCCAGGATCCAACGTTTCCCAGCCGCACCAAGCAAATACTGCTTGCGGGCTTCTTTCACCCCTGCCCTCTGCTGCCCTGTTAAATTCTCACAGGCTTCTTCGGAGCACCTATCACAGCTCCCGATGATGTGGACCAGTCACCCCAAGGGAAGAGAACGTTAACTCCCTCCAGGCAGATGTGGGGTGGGCTGGGGTGGGGGGAGATAAAGAGAGCCACTGGGGTTTGGATGAGACACAACTTAAGGATCCCACTCAATCCGTGAAAGACATTAGGGCCCACTGCAAATGAATGGAGATGGGCAGCGCACGTCCTCTGATCTGCCCAGCCCAAACCGTACAATTATCATTGCCTCGTGTGTTAGAATGTATACAATACCAGTCCCACCAGCAAACATGCGAATCCCCAGGACAAGGTGAAAAGCTGCGTAAAAATTCAGACCATTTACTGCAAAGTAGGAGTGGCAAAGCTCAGACGTCTCTTTCTCCACGGCGATCCAAAATGAACTTGGGGAGGTCAGACCGGTCTCAATAATCTGGGGGAGTACAAGGGAGGAGGTTGGCAAGGTCAGTCCCAGGAATCGAGTCAGTGGTGGGGTGTGGGGACACATTTGGGATCTGAGGATGATCAGATCAGCCATTGGTAGCAAAGCAGACTCGCTGGGATCAATGACCTATTTCTGCTTCTATGTCTTATCTTTAGTACAGTCAGTTATTGGGACGTCTTATTGATGTTGTACAGGACGTTGGTGAGGCCTCTTCTGGAGTATTGTGTCCAGTTCTGGTCACCCCTGTTATAGGAAGGATATTATCGAGCTGGAGAGGGTTCAGAAGAGATTTACAGGGAATGGAGGGTTTGAGTTATGGGGAGAGGCTGTGACCTTTTTTACTGGAGCATAGGAGGTTGAGCAGGACCTTATAGAAGTTTATAAAATCAATTGGTGTATAGATAAGGTGAATAGCAGGTGTCTTTTTCCTAGGGTGGGGTAATTTCAAGACTTTGGGGGGAGCATATGTTTAAGGTGAGAGGAGAAAAATTTTAAAAAGGACATAGATAGTTGTTTGTGTGTGGAATGAACTTCCAAAGGAAGTGGTGGATGTGGGTACAATTACAAAGTTTAAAAGACGTTTAGATAAGACATGAATAACGAAGTTTGGAAGCATGCGGGCCAAGCGAAGGTAGGTGGGACAGGTTTAGTTTGGAATTATGGTCGACGCAGACTGGTTGGACTGAAGGGACTGTTTCCATGCTGTATGGCTCTACAACACACAAGATGGCCTAGATGGACTGTTAATCGAGAGACCCAGCTAATGATCTAGGGACCCGGGTTCAAATCCTGCTTTGGCAGATAGTGGAATTTGAATTCAATAAAATATCTGGAATTAAGAATCTAATGATGACCATGAATGCATTGTTGATTGTTGGAAAAACCCATCTGGTTCACTAATGTCCTTTAGGGAAGGAAACTGCCATCCTTACCTGGTCTGGCCTACATGTGACTCCAGACCCACAGCAATGTGGTTGACTCCGAACTGCCCTCTGGGCAATTAGGGACGGACAATAAATGCTGCCTGGCCAGCGATGCCCATATCCCGTGAATGAATAAAGGAAAAAAAAAAGTTGGCCGGTACCTGTTTTCCTGAGCAGGGCCATTGCTGTAGAGTTTATCCTCCTGGTACAGATCCTCATCTTCTGTCACGACTGCAAGGTCATCCTTCTCTTTCTCCTCTGCCTCAGCCCCATTGCGGTGCACATTTCCACTGTTATCCCAGGGTCCCTCAGCACTCTCGATCTCCGCTACTTCTGATGGGAAACAGTTTGCGGATTTGGTTTTTCAATCTGGGGTTGTGAAGGCTGACAATTCTCACTTAGATTGGAAATGATTCTGTGCTCAAATATTGTTATGATCCCAGGGAAACATAGAAAACAAGTGCAGGAGGAGGCCATTCAGCCTGCACTACCATTCAATCCAATGATGGCTGACCATACAATCTCAGTATCCTATTCCCGCCCTCTTCCCGTACCCCTTGGTCCCTTTAGCTCCCTCTTGAATATATCTAATGAACTGGCCCCAACAGCTTCTCTTGGGAGAGAATTCCACAGGTTCACAACTCTCTGAGTAAAGAAATTCTTCCTCATCTGAGTCCTGAATGGCTTACCCCTTATTCTTAGACTGTGACCCCCTAGTTCTGGACTTTCCCAACATCAGGAACATTCTTCCCGCATCTAGCCTGTGCAGTCCCATTAGGATTTTATATGTTTCTATGAGATTCCCCCCTCATTCTTCTAAATTTCAGCAAATACACGCCCAGTCGATCCAGTCTTTCCTGATATGTCAGTCCTGCCATCCCGGGAATCAGTCTGGTGAACCTTCGCTGGACTCCCTCAATCGCAAGAATGTCCTTCCTCAGACTAGGAGACCAAAACTGCACACAATACTCAAGGTGTGGCCTCACCAGGGCCCTGTATAACTGCAGCAAGATCACCAGAAGGTCACCAAAAGTACAGTACAATCTAGCTAGGGACTTTTAGTTCTTAGAAGTAGGCAATGTGAGAGATTCCAAGTACTTATAAAGAGGGTAAAGGCTCAAGGTTCACAGGTTTGGGAAAAAAACCCCACCAAAACCTGTATTATAGGGAGGTGACGACCTAGTGCTATTATCACTGGAGTGTTAATCCAGAGACCCAGGTAATGTTCCCGGGACCCAGGTTCGAATCCTGCCACAGCAGATGGTAGAATTTGAATTCAATAAAAATCTGGAATGAAGAGTCTAATGATGCCCACTAATCAATTGCCGATTGTCAGAAAAACCCAGCTGGTTCACTAATGCCCTTTAGGGAAGGAAACTGCCATCCTTACTAGGTCTGGCCTATATATGACTCCAGACCCATTGCAATGTAGTTGACTCTTAACTGCCCTCTGGGCAATTAGGGATGGTCAATAAATGCTGGCCTAGCCAGCGATGCCCTCAACCCATGAATGAATTAAATTTAAAAAAAAACACAGTATAGGGCCAAAAACAAATTTGCTGGAAAAACTCAGCAGGTCTGGCAGCATCTGTGGAGGAGAAAACAGAGTTAACGTTTCGGTGACCCTTCCTCAGAACTGGGAGAAGCTCTCCACCATCTCCACTTCAGCACAACTGATACAGACAGGGACGTGCCCTCCACTCTGCTTCCTGAAGTCAATGGCTTCGATTTGCTGACATTGAGGGACAGATTGTTGTCTCTACACCGTGCCACTAAGCTCTGTATCTCTCTCCCATACTCTGTCTCATTGCTGTTTGAGATCCAACCCACTACGATGGTGTCATCAGCAAAATTGTAAATGGAGTTAGAGCTGAATTTGGCCACACACTCACGAGCGTATAAGGAGTGTAGTAAAGGGGCTGAGTACACAGCCTTGCTGGTGTTGAGGATTATCACGGAGGAGGTGTTGTTGCCTATCGTTACCAATTGCGGTCTGTGGGTCAGGAAGTCGAGGATCCAATTGCAGAGTGGGGAGCAGAGACCTAGGTCTCAAAGTTTGGAGATAAGTGTGTTTGGAATTATGGTGTTGAAGGCGAAGCTAAAGTCAATAAATAGGAGTCAGGCATAGGTGTCCTTGTTATCCACATGTTCCAGGGATGAGAGGACAGTGGACTTATAGTGATGGTCTAAAAAACAAGGGATAGATGCTACACCTTTGCAAATCATTGGTCAGACCACATTTGGAATATTGTGCTCAGTTCTGGGCATCTTACTTAAAGAAGGAATTAACATCCCTGGAGAGAGTTCAATGGAGATTAACTAGAATGATATCAGGGATGAGAGATTTTAGATGCAAGGAGAGATTAGAGAAATTGGGCTTATTGCTTTTGGAGCAGAGGAGATTAAGAGGTGACCTTATTGAGGTGTGCAAAATTATGAACAATTTTGACAGGGTAAAGAAGGATGTTCTGTTTCTGCCAGTTGGTATGAGTGTAACAAGGGGGTCACAATTTCAGCTAGGTGTGAGATGACGAGAAACTTCTTCATTCAGAAGTTGTTAGAATTTGGAATGCGTTGCCTGGGCATGTGGTGGAGATTGATTCCATAGGAGGTTCCAGCCTCGGGTGATTGTCTGTGTGAAGTTCATACATTCTCCCACATCAGCGTGGGTTTCCTCCGGGTGCTCCAGATTCCTCCCACAGTCCGAAGATGTGCTGGTGAGGGTGGCTTGGTCAAGCTAAATCATCCATTGTGTCCAGGGATGTGCAGGCCAGATGGATTAGCCATGGTAAATGTGGCGTTACAGGGAAAAGGTAGGGCCATGCCCGTGTGTGTGTGTGTGTGATGGTAAAGATGTAGAAATGGTAAAAATGTAAAATATGAGGATTCCGCGGGCCAAATGGTCACCTCTCTGTGCTGCACTGATCTCACAGTTTTTACAAATGTGGTTCTCAAGCTGAAACCTGTACCAGGTCCCACCTCATTAAGCAGCAATTCCAATTTGAACAGTAAAACATTGGCACTGTCCGCCTACCGTTGGCCACTCATTACCTGCCAGATCCCCACTGAGCGACTGCTCGGTTTCTGCAGCAGAAGTGCCCGGGCCTTCACGCCCTCGTGAAGGGAGCCTGTGCTGGCTGTGTCCCCGCTCTTGACAGATGTGCTGTGTTCTCAGGCAGATGGAGGGGTAAGGGGGTGTTTGGTTGTCCCCCAGCCTGCTTGAGAACAAGGGGTGAAAGACAGGTGAAAAGTACAGGAGAGAAACATTGCAAACCCTAGTTAAAAGGGAAAGGTCAGAAGCATTCATCGCACATGTCTAACCCTCTCTCTGTCCCATCTCGAATCTGTCATGTTTGGATAATACCTCCAGCTCAAGGAAGCGAGATCTCTTTCTTGTTTGATTCTGCAGGCTGCTTCCTGAAGAGAGTTCAGCCTTGTGCCTACCGGTTTGGATACACGTGAAATATTTCACAAGGCGGGGTTGTGAAATGTTCCCGATTGACACAATTATGCGTAACTTTAGCACCAAACTAAATATGTTTATCATGTAATCACACACCCTACTCAGAGACACTGTCAGCGAGGGAGTCACACTGTACAATGGCTGAATTAAAACATTCCCAAAGTGCAAATGGACCGGCCACTAATGTGAAGCTACCTGGGTTACAAGACAACCCATCCGCCAAAAACTCCAAATTCCACTGCACCTAGGAAGCGGCAGCACCTTACTTACTGCAGTATTTGCATTCGATGTCCATTTACAGGAGCAGGAGCCCTCAGTGGGTTTGTTCGAGGGAAACTTCCAGGTAGGTACTTCTGTGAACAACATGGATCATTAATGGTTCACTACATCAGAAATACAGATGGCGACCAACCAGTTCAAGAGCCCATTGCTTTGAGGAGATGAAGGAGCACATATTATAAAGAAGGGTGAAGCTCCCTCCACACTGTCCCCCCATCAAACACTCCCAGGACAAGGACACCACGGGGTTAGATAAAGAGTAAACCCCTCCACACACTGTTCCCCCATCAAACACTCCCAGGACAGGGACAGCACGGGGTTGGATACAGAGTAAAGCTCTCTCTACACTGTTCCCCCTGCTCCCCATCAAACACTCCCAGGACAAGGACAGCATAGGGTTAGATACAGAGTAAAGCTCCCTCTACAGTGTCCCCCATCAAACACTCCCAAGACAGGGACAGTATAGGGTTAGATACCCCATTCTGAGAAAGGGTCACTGGACCCTAAATGTTGACTCTGTTTTTTCCTTCACAGATGCCGCCAGACCTGCTGAGCTTTTCCAGCAATTTCTGTATTGTTTCCTGATTTACAGCATCTGCAGTCCTTTTGTTTTTTTAAGGACAGCACGGGGTTGGATACAGAGTAAGGCTCTTTCTACACTGTCCTCCATCAAACCATCCCAAGCCAGGGACAGTATGGGGTTATGTACAGAGTAAAGCTCCCTCTACCCTGTCCCCCATCAAACACTCCCAGGACAAGGACAGCACGGGGTTAGATAGAGAGTAAAGCTCCCTCTACACTGTTGCCCATCAAACACTCAGCCTGAGTGAGGCAAGTAGGATCAGAGTTACTCTGTACCATTAGGACCAGCAGTGGGAATTGGGAACTGATGTAGTGGTCTCTGACGTACAAGCTGTTTCGCTGCATGTCAAACACTTACCAAAGGCATGGCAGGTGGGATACCACTGGCATGGGGCAACGCACTATTCAGGGACAGCTTGTACTGGATGGCATCTGTCATCTTGTTCACAATCCTTTCCTGGGCTGACCCAGTGGGTTCCTGCCAGAAATATGGAAAAGGGAAGAGAAAGCAGCATAAGCTCTGGATACTCCACCTCTCTCTGCAGCGAATCACTCTATAGTTTTGTGCTCAGTTAATTATTGCTTAAGTCTAGATTGTGTGAAGTTGCTTATCACTCACTCATTTTTCCTAATTCTGTGCCCAGGGATTTGGACATTGTTCCTACTCCCTTGTCAACAACCCGTGTCAGTTAATCTTCGCTGGAGTTCAGTGTTAAATTGCACATCTCTCTCGTCACTAAGAGATACCCTGTGTTGACTCTGGTTACCAATCTCTTCATGGCCTGAAGAGATATCAATCTACCAATCTCTGCAGCCATCAGACTGTGGTTTCGTTAGAGTCATAGAGTCATACAGCATGTCTATGCTGACCAACCAACATCCCATTAACTTGTACTTGGTCCATATCCTATTATATCCTGGCATTTTAAGCACTCATCCAGATACTTCCTTAATGTTGTGAGAGTAGCTGCCTCCACCACGCTCTCAGGCAGCACGTTCTATATTTCTACCATCGTCTGGCTGAAAAAATTCTTTCTCAGATCTCCTCTGAACCACTTGCTCCTCTCAGCTTCAACGTATGCCCGCTAGTCTTAGATATGTCTGCTAGTAGAAGAGATTCTCAAGATCTGCTCTGTCTATACCTCTCATAATTTGTATCTCTCAGTCAGATTCTCCACCAGCCTCCTCTACTACAGGGAGAACAAACCCAGCCTATCCAGTCTCTCCTCATAACTGACACTTTACATACCAGGCTCCTGGTGAATCTCCTCTGCACTATTTCCAGTGTAGTTACATCCTTCTGACACAGTGGTGATCAGAACCGTACACAGTATTCCGTCTGAGGCCTAACCAATGCCATATAAACTTGAAACAAGACTTCCTTGCTCCTGTATTCTACACCCTGGCAAATGAAGGCAAGCGTCCCATATGCCTTTTTCACCACCGTCTCCTTGCACTGACACCTTCAGGGATCTATGAGCTTGTACACCAAGGTTCCTTTGTTCCTCGGTGCTCCCTAGGAACCTACCATTCATTGCGTATATCCTTCCCTTATTAGACCTCCCAAAATGCATCACCTCACATTTATCGGGATTAAATTCCATCTGCCAATGCTCTGCCCATTTTACCAGCAGATCAATATCAGACTGTAGCCTGAGACCATCCTCCTCACCATCACCAACACCAATTTCCTTGTCATCTCCAACTTTCTACTTATACCTACTACATTCACGTACAAGTTGTTAACATACAGAACAAGCAGTAAGGGGGCCAGCACCGATTCCTGTGGTACACCACTCGTTGCAGGTTTCCAATCACAAAAACAACCCTCCATCATCACTCTTTTCCTCCTATTTGTAAGCCAATTTTGGATCCAGTTTGCCAACTTGCCTTGGATCCCAAGGGCTCTTACACTTCAGACCAGCCTTCATGTTGGAACCTCCTCCAATCTGAGTTCCAAGCATGCACATCCCACTTATCTGATAGAACAAGCAAATGGAGGTAGGCACTGTCGGAAGGTCAGGACTGAGGGAGTGGGCACTGTTGGAGGGTCAGTGCTGAGGGAGTGCTGCACTGTCAGAGGGTCAGCGCTGAGGGAGCAGACACTGTCGGAGGGTCAGCGCAGGGGGAGCGCTGCACTGTCAGAGGGTCAGTACTGAGGGAGAGCCGCACTGTTGGAGGGTCAGCGCTGAGGGAGCACCACACTGTTGGAGGGTCAGCGCTGAGGGAGCACTGCACTCTCATATGGTCAGTGCTAAGGGAGCGCTGCAGTGCCTGTCTATTTGAATGCAAAACATCAGTGGCACTAATTTAACGTAGGGCATGGTGAGGGCTTCAGGGAGAGGTGATGTTGTCTGTGGGAGAGCTATCCGCAGTGTCTGGTACCAATATTTATTCCTCAACCCCCATCAATAAAGACAGCTGACCTGGCTCATTCTGCCAGCTTGTGGGAATATCCTGCACACAGATATCGGCCACATTTCCTACATTACAACAATGAGCTCACATCAGAAAATGTGCTTCTTTGGTTGTAAAGTACTTTGGGATCTCCTATGGCTGTGAAAAGTGCTATGTAAACACAAATCTTTCCTTTGTTGCTCCTTTAACCTTCGGTTCCTACGTCCGTCGATCAGACACTGAACTGGACCAGCCATGTAAATACTTCGGCGGCAACTGCAGCAGTGTGTGCCATCTACAAGATGCACTTCAGCGACTCGCCAAGGCTCCTTAGACAGCACCTTCCAAACGAACAACTACTATCATCTAAGAGGACAAGGGCAGCAGATACATGGGAACACCATTCCCCTCCGAGCCCCGCCATTCTGACTTGGAAATATGTTTCTTCTGGACCAAAATCCTGGAAATCCTTCCCTAATGGCACTGTGGGTGACCTTCCACCACATGGACGCAGAAGGTTCAAGAAGGCGGCTCACCCCCACCTCTTGGTGAGTTCCCGTTGCCCAGCGCACGGACTGACGGTGAGACTAAGGATGGTGCCTGAATTGGGCCTTTTCGGTCTGAGATCCGACGTGGCGACGGAGGCTCCCCTGACATCTGCAGCGGCGACGAGAGCCGGGGAGATTGATCCAGTGCGGGGAAAACACGCCAAAGCAGACGAGATCGAGCCCTTGTTGGAAGTGCGGTCCCAGGATGGCTAAGGACTTAAGAAAGACTGCAGTGGTTGAACTTTTACCTTCATCTCTTTTATTTTTCGCCCTAGCGCTAAGAACTGTAATGTTTAACTCAACTTTACTTCATTTGTTTTCCGCTATACTAAGAATGACTGTAACGTCTAGCTTTTAGCCTTGTTCCTCAATTCTTTCTACCTCGTCCTTAAGTTTTTGCACCTGGGTACTTGTATTTAAGATTGTGCTGTGTGGGCGATAATGAAAACTTTTCGCGGTACTCCTGTATTTTTGTATTTGAGTACTCGTGACAATAAAGTCTAATTCGAACCTTTTCAAGGGCAATAGATTCTGGTCTGGCCACTGACACACGGAACATTGAGTGAATACACAGAGATACCTGTGACTTGCCTAGAGCAGCTAGGGCCTGCTTGTAGTAAAGGATGGCTCTCTCAGGATCCCCCAGGCGAAATTTAGCAGCTCCGAGGCCTTCACAAGCTTGCCACTGTCCGTGAAAATCACCTGCACTTGGGAAAACCAGGAAATGAGTTAGGATAAATTCTGGGAGAACATAAGCTCTGAGCCTCGTACCTTCCTGAGTCTCTTCTGCCCCCTTGGCACCCTATGCAACAGAAATGGAGCATGGACACTGGGCGGCACGGTGGCTCTGTGGTTAGCACCGCTGCCACACAGCGCCAGGGAACTGGGTTTGATTCTACCCTCAGGCGACTGTCTGGGTGGAGTTTGCACATTCTCCCCGTGTCCGTTTGGATTTCCTCCGGGTGCTCCGGTTTCCTCCAATAGTCCAAAGATTTGCAGGTTGGGTGGGTGAGCCATGGGAAATGTAGCGTTACAGGGGTAGGGTGGGTACGTTTCAGAGGGGTCAGTGTGGACTTGATAGGTTGAGTGTCCTGCTTCCACACTGTAGGGATTCAATGATTCTAACAGCGTCGGAGGAGGCTTCTTGGTCCATTGTGCCTCTGCTAGCCCTTTGAAGGAGCAAAGTCTGCTAAATGAGACCTTGGTCAGCCATTTGGTGAATGCTTTCAACTCATGGACAGGCGTCTGGTTGGATCATTTTAACAAAGGTATGTACCATCGTATCTGAAGGAGTCAGAGTGGAAGTTCCAAGTTTTGATTTCCTCAAATTGGCATTCTCTCCCACAGAAAGTAAGTGAGGCCAAAACATTGAGTGTTTTCAAGGAGATAACGGGCACAGTTCTTAGGCCTAAAGGAATCACGGTGTATGAGGAGAAAGTGGGAAGGGGGCACTGATGTGGACGATCAGCCATGACCATATTAAATAGCAGAGCAGGCCTGAAGGGCTGAATGACCTACTCCTGCTTATATTTTCTATGTCTATGTCAAACATAATTTGTCCCAGATCTCAGCTCCTTCTCAGTGGTGTTTCACATCACTTCCCAACTGCAAACTTGCACTCATGTTTCTGGTCAAACGATCTAGCCAAAAAATGTCTCCACAGAGAGGGCAGGATCTCACATTTTCTCAGCTGAGTCTGAACTGTATGTCTTTTGTTTTGGAGGATATTTCAGCACAAGGCCTAGCGAGCAGGCCTTTCTCACTGCCCAAACGCCCTGCAGTATCCACGTATGCCACCCGTGCCATCTGCATTCACCTCACTCAATCTCTCCTTTTGTCTCATTGAGTCATTGATTCGTACAGCACAGAAACAGACCCTTTAGCCCAACCCATCAGTGCCAACCAGACATCCCAAATTAATCTAGTCCCGTTTGCCAGCATTTGGCCCATATCTCTCTAAACCCTTCCTATTCGTATACACATCTAGATGCCTTTTAAATTTGTACCAGCCTCCACCACTTCCTCTGGGAGCTCATTCCATACACGGACCACCCTCTGCGTGAAAAAATTGCCCCTCAGGTCCCTTTTAAATCTTTCCCCTCTCACCTTAAACCTATGCCCCTCTATTTTTGGACTCACCCAACATGGGAAAAAGACCTTGGGTATTCACCCTATGCATGCCCCTCATGATTTTATAAACTTCTATAAGGTCACCCCTCAGTCTCTGACGCTCCAGGGAAAACAGCCCCGGTCTATTCAGCCTCTCTCCATAGCTCATACCCTCCAACATCCTTGTAAATCTTTTCTGCACCCTTTCATGTTTAATGACATCCTTCCTAAAGCAGGGAGTCCAGAATTGAATGCAGAATTCCAACCATGATGGGAAAAGGCAGCCCATTGCTGGGATTTCTACAGGGCCTGCTTACAGTAAAGGACAGCCTTCTTGGGATCTCCAAGGCAAATCCCAATCAACAATCAGCAATCCCCATCCACATGCAACATGTGGAGCCAGCCGCATAAATACAGTGGCCGCAAGAACAGGTCAGAGGCTGGGGATCCTGCAGCAAGTAATTCACCTCCTGACTCCCCCTCGAGCCTGTATACCATCGACAAGGCGCAAGTCAGGAGTGTGGTGGAATACTCCCCACTTGCCTGGATGGGTGCAGCTCCAACAACACTCAAGAAGCCTAGGTGGCACAGTGGTTAGCACCATTGCCTCACTGCGCCAGGGACCCCGGTTCAATGCCAGCTTTAGGCAACTGTCTGTGTGGGGTTTGTGCATTCTCCGCGTATCTGGTCAGGTTTCTGCTGGGTCACCCAGTTTCCTCCCACAGTCCGAAGATGTGCAGGTTAGGTGGATAGGCCATGAGAAATGCAGGGTTACAGGGATAGGGTAGGGGGTGGGATGCTCTTCAGAGTGTTGGTGTGGATTTATTGGGCCAAATGGCCTGTTTCCATACTGTAGGGATACTAGTATATAAAGCTCGACACCATCCAGGACAAACAGCTCATTTGGTTGGCACCACATCCACTCCCTCCACCACCGATGCTCAGTCGCAGCAGTGTGTACCATCTACAAGACGCACTGCAGCGACTCTCCAAGGCTCCTTAGATAGCACCTTCCAAACCCGTGACCTTTACCCCCTAAAAGGACACAGGAACACCACCCCTGCAAGTTCTCCTCCCAGCCACTCACTAGGACTGACTTTGAAATACATCGGCTGTTCCTTCAGTGTCAAAATCATGGAACTCCCTCCCTGACGGCACTGTGGGTGTCCCTAAACCACGCTGGGGACTGCCGCAGTTCAAAAAGGCAGCTCACCACCAACTTCTCGAGGGGTAATTGGGTACAGACTATCAATGCTGGCCAGCCAGCGATACCCACATCCCACGAGAGTGTGAAAGGAAGGAGAGAGAGCCTGTACAGTAGGAGGGGTGCTCAATATGCGGTTCCTCGCCCCATGAGAGAATCCTGACCCCTGCAGGAGAAGACCGGGACTGCTCGTGCAGGGATGCCGAGACATCCACATCCCGTCAATAGCAGAGATAGTAGGAACTGCCAATGCTGGAGTATCTGAGATAACAAGGTGTAGAGCTGGATGAGCACAGCAGGCCAAGCAGCATCAGAGGAGCAGGAAGGCTGACGTTTCGGGCCTAGACTCTTCTTA